TGAAGAAAGTCCACTTTATTTGAGATGTAGAACACGATATTATCATTTATTATGAGATTGGTAACTTTTCCTATAGTGTCATCCTTAATTGTCTTAATTGACTAAAAGAGGTCAAGGAGAGATTTCAAAACATAAAATAAATTATATTTTCGAGATTTACTATTGATTTCCAATCGATTGATATGTATTTTGTAGATTGAGGATGTTGTTCTCTATATTCAACATTTCCTCCTGATCTTCCAAGACAACCTTGAAATTTCACCCTTTACCTTACTGAATGATAGAATATTCACCATAATGTCTGTAAACTGAACCATATATATTATTAGAGATGTAGAACATGATGGTGATGTTTCGTAGAGTAGTCATTTTCCAGAAATTCATCCATGTCCATAGTTGACTAGATGGTATGAAAGGGATGAAATCATGAATATGAAAGTTAAAATAAATCAAATATTCTATCTCTACTCATCAAATGGAGCATTTTCATGTATATTTTGTTGATTGAAGTGATGTATTTGATAGACTTGATCTGACCTGTCAATCCTTAAAGTCAACCTTATAAAGTCAACCATTATCTTCCTACAGTTCCATTTCTTGTTCTTATGATATGAAATTGAATTCTACATCATTATAGATCATCTACATAATGTTGGTAAAGTTTCAATAGGTGGTCCTTTTTCAAGATTTCATCCTTTCAGGTTTGGGTTTGGGTTTGGGTTTGGGTTGGGTTTGGGTTTGGGTTTGGGTTTGGGTTTGGGTTTGGGTTTGGGTTTGGGTTTGGGTTTGGGTTTGGGTTTGGGTTTGGGTTTGGGTTTGGGTTTGGGTTTGGGTTTGGGTTTGGGTTTGGGTTTGGGTTTGGGTTTGGGTTTGGGTTTGGGTTTGGGTTTGGGTTTGGGTTTGGGTTTGGGTTTGGGTTTGGGTTTGGGTTTGGGTTTGGGTTTGGGTTTGGGTTTGGGTTTGGGTTTGGGTTTGGGTTTGGGTTTGGGTTTGGGTTTGGGTTTGGGTTTGGGTTTGGGTTTGGGTTTGGGTTTGGGTTTGGGTTTGGGTTTGGGTTTGGGTTTGGGTTTGGGTTTGGGTTTGGGTTTGGGTTTGGGTTTGGGTTTGGGTTTGGGTTTGGGTTTGGGTTTGGGTTTGGGTTTGGGTTTGGGTTTGGGTTTGGGTTTGGGTTTGGGTTTGGGTTTGGGTTTGGGTTTGGGTTGGGTTTGGGTTTGGGTTTGGGTT